ATCTCTAGGCAAGAAATGCTCCTCTAATAACCCCGGATCCCAAGTTCTAGTCTCCTGGTCCATGAGATCTTTGATAGAAAGCTCCAGGTCCACGATGTAATTTTTCATGAAAGGAGCCCGCATCCTGACATCATCCAGCCACAAGGTAGTCCAAACCTTCAGAGAAGCACCATCTCCAATCATTTGCTTCAGACCCAATTGAAGAAGGTCACGACCATGCAAAATACTTCTCCATGCAAAAGAAGGTCTATTCCCTGCCACAGCTTGAAGGAAGGAAGAATCATTGAAGTATCTACTCTTCAAGAATCTGGTGAACAGGCAATCAGGAACCTGTAAACATCTCCAAGCTTGCTTGGCAAGACGAGCTTGGTTAAAAAGAGCAATATCTTTAAAGCCAAGACCACCCTGCTCCTTAGTCAAACACATTCTATCCCAAGCGATCCAATGAATCTTTCTCTGATTCTTAAGAGAGCTCCACCAAAATGATGACATAGCGCTAGAAAGAGATTCACAAGTACCTTTTGGAAGCCTAAAACAAGACATGGCATAAACCGACATCGCCATAGCCACAGTTTTTAGGAGGATTTCTTTTCCACCTAGAGATCGCGTTTTAGCGAACCATCCAGAAAGCCGATTCTTTAGCTTTTCATGAATGTAATCAAGCATATCTCTTTTGGACCCGCTAAAACATTCAGACAGCCCGAGGTAGGTACCAGCTCCACCTTCACAATTAATACCAAGAATAATTTTAACCCCAGCTTTTATATCCTCTGAAATCTTGGTACCAAAAGTGACAGAAGACTTGTCCTTGTTGATGTATTGACCTGTTGCTTTACCATAGATATCAAGAATGTTTTGAATAGCATAACCTGTTCCTTTTCCGCCTTGCAAACAAAAAGAGAATCATCTGCAAATAAAAGATGATGGATGGAGGGACCATCCTCAGAAAAACGCATACCGCAGATAAGACCTTGATGTTCAGCTCTGTTCAGCATATGCGTTAAACCTTCTGTGCAAAGCACAAACAAAAATGGGGAAAGAGGATCACCTGACGAAGGCCGCGCTGAGGTACAATAAGAACGTGAGGCTGACCATTTATCAACACCGTATATGTGACAGTAGAGACACAAACCATCACCAACTCAACCCAACGAGAATCAAATCCAAGAGCAATAAGGAGAAAACGCAGATAGCTCCAGTCTACTCTATCAAAAGCTTTGGACATGTCGGTCTTGATAGCCATGAATTCCTTTGAAATTGTAGGATGAGTTCTCAGACCGTGTACAGTTTCATGAGCAATAATGATATTGTCAGAAATCAATCTCTCTTCCACAAAAGCAGATTGAGTAGGAGAGACCAATTCTGGCAATAAAGGTTTAAGCCTTGATACCACAATCTTGGAGATCACTTTGTAGATCACTGAACATAAGCTAATAGGTCTTAAATCTGACATGAGAAGAGAGGAGACCTTTTTTGGAATCAGAGCTAACTGAGTGAAATTCCATTCCTTCTGAAAAACCCCTTCTTCAAAACACCGCAGGACCTCAGAGGTGAGCTGTTCTCCAACAATATCCCAATACTGTTGGAAAAAAAGGCATGTCATGCCGTCAGCACCAGGGGCACTAGTAGATTTGACTGAGAAAACAGCCACTCTAACTTCCTCTTTAGAGACCTTGGCCAAAAGCTGCTTGTTCATATCTTCAGTAACTCTAGGAATGAAACCCTCAAAAAGCTCAGAAGGATTTGAAGGATAGGAAGAAGAAAAGAGAGCTTGAAAGTAGAAGGCAGCAACATCTCCCATTGACGCTTCTGATCTATGAGTAATACCCTCATCATCAGTCAACTCCACTAACCCGTTCCTTGACCTATCAGCTTTGACAGAAGCATGGAAATACTTAGTATTTCTGTCACCTGAGTTTTGCCACTTTTTCCTGCATTTCTGTTTCCAAAAGCTTTCTTCTTCTTCTCTATGTGCCACCACCATCTCTTTATGAAGCCAAGACATTCTCGCAAAGGAAGGATGTAAGGCAGAATGCTCAATCTCAATATCTTTTTGAATCTGATTAATCTTCTCTTTGGAATTTGTAACATTAGCCCTCTTCCACTTGCTCAAAGCCTTCCTACATCTTCTTAAACTTTCAGAAACTGAGGTACCAAACAGAGAGGATGAAGCATTCCAAGCAAGTTTTACTGTTTCATGAACCAAAGGCTGATGTAGCATCCGCTTGTCAAATCGAAAGGAACCGCGGTAAGTATCTTGAGAAGATAAAAGAGGCAACAGAACAGGTCTGTGGTCTGAACCTTTCTTCTCAAGAAAATTCTGATTTGCCACTGGGAACAGATTGAACCACTTCTTGTTACCAAAACAACGGTTAAGTTTACATTGTATCCACATATCTCCTCTCCTGCCACCCCAAGAGAAGCTATTCCCAGAACTTGGAAGCTCATTCATTCCACAAACCTCAATCATATTAGCAAAATCAACAAAGGAGGACTCCCTTCTTCTCGGACCACCAATCTTTTCTCCATTGTTGAGAATCTCGTTGAAATCACCAAGCATACACCATGGCTCAGTCCTTTGCAATCCAATCCTAGTGACTCTTTCCCAAACGATATGTCTCAGCTCACTACGAGGATTCCCATAAACACCAGACACAAAGAACTTGCAATCACCAAACACCACTTCAATATCCAAAAGATTTTTATCAAAAGAAATAAAATCCACAGAGATGCCTTTTTTCCAAAATAGAGCAAGGCCACCACATCTCCCAATCGGATCCAACCAAGCTTGAATATCTACAATAACATTCCTAACATTCATTGTCTCCATCAAGAACAAAATCTCCGGGAAATATTTTTTACGCATTTCCAAGAGACGCTGAACTGTCAAGTCTTGAGGCCGCCCCAGTCCTTGACAGTTCCAGCACATCATGCTCATTAGATGTTGGACAGTCCCTCCATTGGGACTATCTCGGGTTTTTTGCGCCTTACGACTTTGTTGGAATCATCTCCAACCATGATACCCTTCCTTTTTTCTTGAGTACCTTCAATCAGACCCTCCTTTTTTGCTGAGCTGCCACTCTGATTTTGAGATCCCACACCCTTCAGAGACCATTTGCTGATGTGAGGTCTGCGTCTATTTTTGGTTTTTCTCTGTTTTGTCTCGGATGAGCATGCTTCAAAGAAGCCAGGGACATGTTCCGTTGAACAAAAAATTGAAGAAGAGGAATCCTCTGAATAGTTCACCAAAACAGTACCTTTATCACCAAGAACAGAAGATTCATGAAGTACAGAAGAGCCCAAAATCTGCTTCTTGTTGACCAACAAATCACTTGAAGAAACAGCAGGAGAACCAAGAGATTCATAACCAAAGACGATGCCTTTCTCTTTATTGTAGTCATTAGAAACCAAAGGAGCTGGTTCCAACCGTAACATTGTCTTTTGGACCATTGGATCTTTCTCCGCATCTACAACCGAAAGCTTAACTCTTTCCTCTCTTATCTTGCGCTCTTCACCTTCAGCCACAAGAATATATTGTCTCATACCTTCTAAGACAACCAGATCGATACGAGGGCGCCCCATGATTGGATGAATACCGACTTGATCTTCTCTGAGAACACCAAAAAGAGGGTCTGTTGTCTTTAACACAAGAGGAGGAGGCGGCTTAACCACTTTTTTCCCCAATCTTCTCTCCAAAGCTTGATCTTTCCTTTGTTTAATAAGAATGGGACATACATCTTGCTCATGAGTTAGTCTTTGACAATGGTAGCATCTTTTCTGGACCCGTTCATAGTGAAACAAAATGGTCGCGGTCTTACCTTTAGGAAGATTGACCACCTTTGATTTCCGGAGTGGTTTGGAAACATCAAACCTAATTTTAACTCTGACAAATTCTTGACTCTGTGGCTTGTCCGGATCGAAGATCAACTCTTTGTCCGGATCGAAGATCAACTACTTATTATTTTAAAGAAAACCATACATTATCTAATAAATAATCTAAGGTTACCACTTACCAGTGCATCCTTTACTATGATAGAGTCATCCTTCACTATGATAGAGTGTATCATCGATAAAACATTTTATTGTCTATCTGTTTTCTTTCTTTTTTTGTTAAATATCATTTAGAATGATATCCAATCCACAACTTAAGCTTTCTTAAACCGAGTAACGCGATTTATTAGAATCACATTTAGATGAATAAACCACATAAATGAAACATTAACCACTTGTCTAAAACAGTTCTTTTTCTTACGGTACCTTTTTTTTTTAAATTTAATTAGATGTATTTAGATGGTATTTCCTCCGTTTCAAAATATAAGGCGTTTTGGAAAAAAATTTTGTTACAAAATATAAGTCATTTTCAAGTTTCTATGCAAATTATATACTCCCTCCGTTTCATATTAAATGTCGTTTTAGCCTTTGAATTTTGTTTTAAAATAAGTGTTGTCAATGCAGATGTTTGGTAAAATTTCCAGTTTTGTTTCTACTAATTTAATGTATTGATCAATAAAAAAATAATAAAATATATAGATAATGGGTAAAACAGAAAATTTAACTGTTTTCTTAATATGTGTGCAAAAACCTTAAACGACACTTATTATGAAACTGAGGGAGTATTACTTTAATATTTTATGATTAACTGAACTTTTAGAAAGTAGATCTTCTTAATCGATGTGCTTTTAGCTAAAACGCATTATATTTTAAAACGGAGGGACTATAATCATACAGACCAACCACTCTACAATTAATTTAGAGGAATACTTTTCATGCACGTGGTTAATGGTTATTGAGCAATTATTTATTTATCGCCGTCACTCGGAACAAATATCCTCTTCAGTGAAATAATGTGTCCAACCAGTTTGTACAAAAAAAAAAAAAAAATGTCCAGTCAAGAGCCCACACCAAACGTCTTTTTCAATTGTATTTCAACTCTTTGGAATTTTCTCACGTCAAATTCAATCCACTTGCAAATCTATAAACTGTTTCCACATATATTAAAAATAGGCTTTAAATTGGATCTGGATTCTTGAAATGTTACAGAGAAATTCAAGAAGTAAACAAATATGAAGTTTGGGAAAGAGTATGTTTCACAAATGATACCAGAATGGCAACAAGCTTACATGGATTATGCTTGTCTCAAAACCATTCTTCGAGAAATCCAAACTTCACACGAAAGATCAGAGAGACAAGATGTCGTGAAACACAAGCTATCTGGTCGCCGCAACTTCAGCGGCCTGACAAAGCGGTACAGCCGCACCTTTTCGTCTCGGGAACTCGAAAACCATGATATTCTGGTTCACGAAACGATTGGGGATGATGGGTTTGAGAAATACGAGACGACCATCTTGAAAGTTGCTGAAGTAGGGAGAGAGTCAGAGCTCGTGTTCTTTAAAACCCTAGATCTCGAGTTCGATAAGGTAAACCGTTTTTACCGGTCTAAAGTTGAGGAATTGGTGAAGGAGGCAGTGGTTTTGAACAGACAAATGGATGCTTTGATTGCTTTCAGAATCAAACTTGATCAACCTTCTTCTTCTTGGAGCTGCTCTGAAACCGTATCCGTCGATATCAATGCCTTGGATTCTAAGGAACAGAGTGAGTTTTCAGAGATTGTTTTGTTACATGGTTTAGTCTGAAAGGACACAGAGCTTGAATCTTTGTTGTGTCTTTTTGTGTGTTTGAATTAGAAGGGAAGACATTAGCTGAAGAGATGGGAATCAAAGTAGAGGAAAATGTATCCAACGGTGGAGATTCAACGAAAGAGACAGTAGCGTTAAGTGTTCTTGACCGTATCAGATTAAACAAAAATCAAGAAAATCCTCTGTCCACAATTAGAAACGTTCTCAAGCTCTCTAACAAGGAAGATCTAAAATTCACAAGAGAAAATCTCAAGAAAATAGAAGAACGGCTAAAATATGTCTTCATCGAGTTTTATCGCAAGCTTCGACATCTCAAGAATTACAGGTATGTTGTTTCTTGAGTACAAAATAAAGTTAAAAAAGATTGTTTGATTTAACCTATGCTCTGTTCTTGATCAATTCAGCTTCTTGAACACTTTAGCGATTTCCAAGATCATGAAGAAGTATGATAAGGTAACACTAGTTTTAACAAAAGAAATATATTAATTAGTTTCTTGAGACATTAATATGTTTTTGCTATGTATTCTCAATCAGATTGCTTCAAGAAATGCAGCAAAATTATACATGGAGATGGTAGATAAGTCCTACCTCACTAGTTCTGATGAGGTTTACACAATATCTCTACACAAAACTTATTATTTTGTTTCAATAAAACTACAAAAGTAAAATCAGACCTTTGATTACATTTTAACAGATCAACAAGCTTATGTTGAGAGTTGAGTCTATATTCGTTGAGCATTTCGCCAGCTCGAATCGAAGCAAAGGAATGAATCTCTTAAGACCAAAAGTGATGAAAGAAAAACATCGAATAACGTTTTCCTCTGGTAACTAAAAATACATCCCTACTCGAAATCGATCTTTTTAACATTAGTTCATGATTAATAAGTAAAAATCCCTACACTGTGTTCTTCTTTCTCAGGCTTTTTCGTCGGTTGCACGGTCTCTCTAGTGATTGCTCTTGGCTTGTTCATCCATGCTCGTAATATAATGGGCGCAGCCGGACAGAAACTATACATGGAGACAATGTTTCCTCTATACAGGTTCAAACCAAAACATATATAGACACTCTCTAAGCTGAACCACTGTTTTCTTGCTGACAAGAATATTTCTTAAACCGTATTTTTTTCAGTTTATTTGCATTTGTGGTTCTACACATGATCATGTATGCCTCAAACATATACTTTTGGAAGCGATATCGAGTGAATTACCCGTTTATATTTGAATTCAAAGAAGGGACAGAGCTTGGTTACGGACATGTTCTGCTTCTAAGCTTTGGCCTCAGCACGCTTGCTCTCAGCGCTGTGCTAGTGAACCTGGACATGGAGATGGATCCTAGTACTAATAATTACAAGACCATCACTGAACTTGTTCCCCTTTTTGTTGTCGCGGTAAGTTGTTCATCATTACAGCCACAAGATTCTCAAATCATTCTATTATATATTAATGTAGTAACACAATGTTTTTCAGGTAGTGATAGCTATTTCTGTCTGTCCCTTCAACATATTTTATCGGTCAAGCCGCTTCTTCTTCCTCATGGTTCTATTCCGGTGCATTTCTGCGCCGTTCTACAAGGTATTTTACTCAAGCACATCCTCTGCTTTCGCTAAGTGAAATCATCGGTAAATCTCTCAATTTGTTATCATCAATATTGCAGGTCAATCTTGCAGATTTTTTTCTAGCAGACCAATTAACAAGCCAGGTTTGTGTGCTACTTATCACAAAATTCTTCTCACTTTCATGGTTATGTTTCAAAATGTTTCAACTCATTTCTCAACCATCTTTTTCAGGTTCAAGCACTGAGGAGTTTGGAGTTTTACATCTGTTACTATGGTTGGGGAGACTTCAAGCAGAGGCAAAGCACTTGCAAATCAAGTGATGTATACAGCACATTCTACTTTATCGTCGCTGTGATTCCTTACTGGTCACGTTTCCTTCAATGTGCTCGAAGATTAATCGAAGAAAAAGATTTAAGCCAAGGCTTCAATGGTCTCAAGTATTTACTGACCATTGTCGCGGTGTGCTTGAGAACAGCTTTTAGCATTAACAGAGGAAACAACTGGAAATTAGCTGCCTGGGTTTTCTCGGGGTTGGCAACATTTTACGGCACATATTGGGACATTGTTTATGACTGGGGATTGCTTCATAGACCATCTAAATCTTGGTTGAGAGAGAAACTTCTTGTTCCTCACAAATCTGTCTACTATGTTGCAATGGTGAGAACTAGGAAAATTGATAGAACAATATATAAACCCTAATCTATGATTTCTTTATGATTTTGATTCGGTCTTCGTATAGGTCTTAAACGTTGTGTTGAGGATGGCGTGGTTGCAGACTGTGCTGGATTTCAATATCTCGTTCTTACATAGAGAAACAATGATTGCTCTTATTGCCATTCTTGAGATCATACGTCGCGGTATCTGGAATTTTTTCAGGTAACTTCTTAACCAAGAAACTATCACTAAATAGTAAATACTCTTCAAAAACATTTTTACTTAAGGGTACTTGCTTTGTCGGGTTGTGAACACAGGTTAGAGAACGAGCATTTGAACAACGTGGGAAAATTTAGAGCGTTCAAATCAGTTCCATTACCATTCAACTACAATGAAGAAGAAGATCGAGATATTTAGCTCCTAGATTGGATCAAATCAAGGTTTTTTCAAAGAGTGGAGTTTCAATTGTGTATTGGTATTCTTATAGGCTTGATTGTATTTGTTTGTAAATTGTAAAAAAAAAAAAAGAGAGAGGAAATGAGCATAAAAGGAATGAGGTGATTGAGACAGCGAGCCAATGTCAAAAGAGCTTCTAAATTTTACATAGATGGTTTCAGGTAAATATTTTTCTCCATTTAAAAAATTAGCTGTTGAATCTAAGTCTAAAAAAAAAAAAAAAATGAGCTGGCCTAGACTGTGCAAGCATATTTGATCTTGCAACATAAACTTTAGTTAGTTGATAGCTTGTCGTTGGACCAGTACTAATTTCAACCAATAAATCTCTCAATTTCATATCAACATATGCTAGTTTCCATGATCATAATTATCTTTAGAGAAATGTTCCTTCTTCTAGATCTCTTCACTTCCCTCGCTTTCATACACAACTTGATCATCATTATCTTTACATTCATCCAAATTGGTCAAAATTTTCCGACCCGGTTAGGTGGTCAGAAATCCAAATGGAATATTTTCTACTACTTCCTGGTCACTTTTATTTAATTGAATAATAATATTAAAATACAGAAATCATATTAAAATATTTTATATTAGAAAATTAATACAACCATAACTGTTTCCTTTCTACTCGTAAAAAAAAAGGAAGAAAACCTATCCACTGTTGTAAACCACATTACGGATGGACTCCATAACCGTGGCCCATGTCCATGTTCTAGAAGGCTCATGTCCATGTTCTAGAAGGCCCATGTATATCTTCTAGAAGATTCGCCCAATGACGGTTTATGTTAGTCTTAGTGGGCTTTGGGCTTTAGGGTTTCCTAGTCCAATTGGGATTTGTCTCCCTTATTGTATATATATATATATATAAGTTGTAACCTCATTCATTAATAAGAGAATACACGAGATTCATAATACGTTATCAGCACGATAGCCTCTAAATCCCTTAGCTAAAGATCTGACACATAAACCCTAATCTCACGATCTCTCTATCTCCATCAAACCCCTAAAACGCAAAGAAATCTGCCTCGGAACTTCAAAGAGGTCGTTCTCTCACATCGTGAGGACCCAGAAAACGAGCAAGATATCAAATCGAAGCCCTCGCCGAGAAGAATCCATCAGTGCAAAAGGCTTGTCGATCTGACCACCGACGCGCCCTCACGCACAGATACAGTGTGCGCCGATTTGTTTTGAAAACCCTAGCTCGTCCGTCCGTTTGCTTTCTCCTTTGCTCGGCGATTCCTTCCAAGGACCATACGCTCGTGACAAGTTGATAACCGAGGTCTTTAGCTCCCGGTTCTAGTCCGTACAACCCCATAAGGTGAAAGGTAACATCAAAACCCTAAAGCTAAAGAACCAACAATCGAACTTGAAAGTTAAGCAAAGAAAAACTCTAAAAACGAACCTTGCTTGATAAGCGATTTTTATTTCCTTGGATGATCCGATTGCTTGACTCGTTTAAGGGGGTGTTATTGGTTTGTGATTAAATAGAGTTTTAATGACGTTAATTGTTGTGTAGAATCTGTTGTTATTCAATCAAGATTTTGTTAAACTCTCTTAAAGTTTGGTGTTATTAGTTTGTGATTTGTAAAAAGTCATTTAAAATCTTAATGAATATTGTTTTATTGGATTAAGAGTTTTATAAAGTCATTAAAAGTTTTGTGTTATTCAACTAAAACAAAACAATCTATGACAATCTATGATTGTTAATGAATTCAATTATTGTGTTATTGGTTTATGATTTTAAACACTTTTCTTTACAAAATAAAGTCATGGAAAGTATGCTAAAATATTAAGATTGTTTGTGAGACTCTACAAGATTATAGAAAAACTAATCAACAAGACTATAGAAAACTCTCTAACAATTCTTCTAAATCATTCACTTATTCACTTTTGATAATTTTATTAAAGTCATCAAAACTCTATTTAAATCACAAACCAATAACACCCCCTAAGTTGCTAGAAAAGTTATTATTGCTTAATCTCAAACTCGCAAACTCGAAAACACTTAGCCATGGCCGAAACTTTTAAAATCCTAAATCGAATCCGAAACCTAAACCCTAAAATATAAATTGATTGGTTAATGTTGTTAGGTTGTTTAGTTTGTTTGTTTCTATGATTGCTTCATGCTCAAATTGTTAGAAATCCAAATCCCTAAAACCGCATGAATCCCTAAACCCTAAAAAACCTAGAAAATGAAGTTTCCTATTGTAAATAGGAAAATCCTTAAAACCCTAAAATCCTAATTAAAAAAGGAAATCTTAAAACCCTAAAATTCTAATTAAAATAGGAAATCTTAAAAATCTAAAATCATAAGTGAAATAGGAAAATTAATCCTAGAGTAAAGAGAAAAGTAAATCCTAAAAGGAAAAGGAAAAGTTAATCCTAATTAAAAGAGAAAATCTAATCCTAAGCAAAAGAGGAAATCTAATCCTAAGCAAAAGAGGAAAGTCAAATCCCTAAGTAAATCGATTCATGGTTCTGTCTCAAATACCGCATGACACTAACAATTACATGATTTTGACTCAAAACTTTTCCTTGTAGATGTTGAATTACAACTTGTATTTTACTGCCCTAAATCTCTTAGGAGATAATTATTTAAAATGGGCAATGGATACTAAGATTATCCTAAAAGTCAAAAGGGCTTGGTGAATGTATCTAATAAGGCAATAATGCCAAGAGAGAAAGATAGATACAAGGCAATATTAGCCACCATCTTATTGAGAGTCTCATAATCCAGGACTATAAGTCCGTGGATAAGTCTATTGCTAGATGAGCAAAATAATGACTTAATGATAAAAACAGTGAATTACGACCTCATAGATTAACCCCATTACCTGATGCCAATAAGGCCGCAGAGGATAAGAAAGAATCCAAAGAATCTAACCACGTCTAAAGTAATAGACCACACGGCCGTAGCCGTAGTAGATGGAAAGGATGTGGTTGTGGCCACTATAACTCATCCGGCCGTGGGAACCACTATAACCGTGGATGTAGACCCAATTCCGGCCGTGGTCGAGGGCGAGGACGATGTGGTATTTCCAAACCACAACACTCGACCAAATGAGTATGCCATAGATGTGGAATGGGGAACCATTGGGCTAAGATATGTAGGACTTCCAAACATCGTTGTGACCTCTATCAAGAGAGTGTGAAAAGGAAGAATCCTAAAGCCCATTTGGTATATAAAGATGGTGAACATGATCAAGATGATCTAATAGGGTATGAGACTTCTGATTGCCTAAAAGAATCAAGTTGATAAATCTGAGTTCGACATCAAAACCTCTATGTTTTCTTTGCATTTTATGTTTTCATTGATTGTTATTTCCTTGAATTTATTTTATATTATTTTATGTTTAAAACATGATTCTTGTCCATATAAGAAATGGCCGAGGACAAGAACATATTTGTGGTGGATAGTGGAGCCACACAAAAGATAAGAGATATTTTCCTAAATCTCATAATGAAAAATGCCAATATTAGCACTTAGCGGGTATAGCAAATCTTATTGAGGGCTACGGCCAAGCCCATATTCTATTACCAAATGGCATGCATCTTGAACTAAGCGATGCCCTATATTCACCCAGCTCGAAGAGGAGCTTATTAAGTTTCAAAGATATAAGATTAAATGGTTTCCATATTGAAACAAAGGGTGAAGGGAACAAAGAATTCCTAAATATAATTGAGATCACCCAAGGACATAAGAAAGTCCTAGAGATTATACCCGCATTATCCACTAGTCTCTACTATGCTAAAATCGATATGATCGAAGCTAATATGGCAATGAACAAAGAGTTCATCGAGAAATTCACTTTATGGCATGACCGGCTTGGCCATCCGGGTCATAGTATGATGCGTAAGCTTATGATAAATTCAAGGGGGCACACCCTAAAAGAGAAAAGAGTTATCCCTAAGAATCTCACGTGTGAAGCATTTTCACAAGGGAAACTCATTATAAGGCCATCACCGGCTAAGGTAAATAAAGAGACCTTAAACTTTCTGGAAAGGATACAAGGGGATATATGTGGACCAATACACCCACCATGTGGAACATTTAGATATTACATGGTCCTCATTGATGCATCGACAAGATGGTCGCATGTTTGTTTATTATCCTCTAGAAACCAAGCGTTTGCTAGGTTGTTGGCCCAGATCATAAGACTGAGAGCCGATTTTCCAGATTTTCCGCTTAAGACTATACGTCGAGATATTGCCGGTGAATTTACGTCCCAAGCGTTTAATGACTATTGTATGTCCATGGGGGTAAGTGTGGAACATCCCGTGGCACATGTACATACACAGAATGGATTAGCGGAATCCTTCATTAAACGAAATCAATTGATAGCTCGACCATTACTCATGAGGTTGAAGCTTCCAGTAGCCGCTTGGGGACACGCTGTTTTACATGCATCAGAGCTTATACGCATAAGGCCATCTAGTGAACATAAATATTCACCATCCCAATTACTCATGGGTCATGAGCCAGACATATCCCATCTAAAGACTTTCGGGTGTGCCGTATATGTACCGATTTCTCCACCACATAGAACAAAGATGGGACCTCAAAGGAGGATGGGAATATATGTTGGATTTGATTCTCCCACCATTATTAAGTATCTAGAGCCAACTACGGGTGATCTATTTAAGGCTAGATACGCGGATTGTCATTTTAATGAATCCGAATTTCCTACTTTAGGTGGAGAGACAAACAAGCTGGTCAAAGAAATATCATGGAATCAAACATCCTTAAATTGGCAAGATCCTCGGACTCTGATGTATGATTTAGAGGTCCATAAGATAATAAATTTGCAAAAGCTAGCTAATGAATCGCCAGATTCCATTGATGACCCAAAGAGAGTTATAAAAGCGTACATACCAGCTTGTAATGCACCAGTACGTATTGATGTTCACAAGGAACACAATCAAGTTACTACAGAGTCTAGACAACGTAAGAAACGTGGTATACCAATAAGTTCCAATGATAAAAACCCTCGGAAATTAAATAAAGGTGCAATAGGAATCCGAGGTTACTAAGGAAACCATCCCAGACATGGAGATAAGGCCGGCCGGCTCTAAGGTACAGGTACCATATAATGTAGCTTGGGACGCCAAGCTGCAAAGTATTAAAGGTCCTGACCATAATAAATCTCAAATCGATTATATCATGTCTGGAACATAATGGAACATAATGGAACATATAAGAAATATCAACATAAGATGATTTTGCATGCAAGGTAGCACTTGAATTTATGAATATAAATGAGGATCAGGAGCCCACGTCTATACTAGAGTGCACTCAAAGACTTGATTGATTAAATGGTACAAGACCATAAAACGTGGAGCTAAGAATCATTAACAAAAGGAATGAGTTTGGTCCGACCTTAAGGACACAATTCGATGTAAAAACCAGTAGGACACAAATGGGTCTTTGTGAAGAAGAGAAATGAGAATAATGAAATCGTGAGATATAAGGCACGGCCTATAGCACAAGGATTCTCACAAAGACCGGGGATAGATTATGAAGAAACATACTCCCCTATGGTGGATACTAAGTCTGGCTATATAAAGGAAAAGATTTGATTTGCGGCTAATGGATGTAATGCCTGCATATTTATATAAGTCCACTGGATAATATATGAGATTACCAGAGGGTATTGAGCTCAAAGATAAGAAAGATTCTCGAGAATATCACTGCATAAGGATGGACAAATCCTTTCATGGACTTAGACCAAATGGGCGTATGGAATGTTATAAATGATCCCATTAGTCCATGTATTTTCATAAAGTGGTTTGCAAACAAAGGATTTGTAATCATAGCAGTGTATATGAATAATTTAAACCTCTGGGTAATCGACCAAACAGTTGAGTATATCTAAAAGAAAGACCTAGGCAATAATTAAGTTCTGTTTGAGATTACAACCTGAGTACATGAATAATGGAATCCTTGTGCATCAAAGACATATACTGAAGAGTACTCAAGGATATTTAATAAGGACCAGGCCCGCCCATTGACCAGGCCCAATGGTGGTGAGAAGCCTTGGATTGGATAGTGATCTATTCGGTCCTAAGAAGGACGAGGAAGAAGTTCTCGGTCCTGAACTGCCATACCTCAGTGCCATAGGAACGTTAATGTACTTGGCTAGCCACACTAGACCAGACATATGTTTTGCCGTGAACCTCCTTTGTCTAAATTTAGTTCATGATCAACCCAAAGGCACTGGAAAGGTTTGAAGGAAGGTTTGGTTAAATTTTAAAGTTTATTCTTCCTACTTTGTTTATTTGGGTTTATTCTATACTGATCTAACCAAAGAAGGTCTAGTTTGCTTTGGTTTAGTTTGTTTTGCTGATGCAGGTAAGATCAGATTATGGCATGGTCAATAAATAGGAACTACGTGTGGCTTGATCCCTTCCAAGGGTACGTAGGCAGCCTTCTTCAAGGCGCAGCTACTACAACATCAAAGACCATCATATGTGAAGACAACGTAGCCATGTATCGCTCAGCTCAAGGACGGCTACATCAAGGGAGATCGGACAAAGCACATTCTACCTAAGTTCTTCTTCACGCATGACCTACAAAAGGATGGTGAAGTTCAAGTGGTGCAAGTTCGTTCAAGCAACAACTCAGCCGATCTCTTCACTAAAGCACTACCGACAACAACATTAAGGAAGCTCACGCATCAAATTGGAATGCGGAGACTTAAGGACTTGTAGGGATGACCAAAACAGGGGGAGTAATGCGTGCTGTACTCTTTTTCCTTCACCGTGGTTTTGTCCCAATGGGTTTTCCTGGTAAGGTTTTAATGAGGCAGCATCCCCAAGCGCATTACAAAGATCCTTTGGCATCTACACGGTTATGTCATCCAAGGGGGAGTGTTGTAAACCACATTACGGATGGACTCCATAACCGTGGCCCATGTCCATGTTCTAGAAGGCCCATGTCCATGTTCTAGAAGGCCCATGTCTATCTTCTAGAAGATTCGCCCAATGACGGTTTATGTTAGTCTTAGTGGGCTTTGGGCTTTAGGGTTTCCTAATCCAATTGGGATTTGTCTCCCTTATTGTATATATATATATAAGTTGTAACCTCATCTCTATACTATTAAAAGAGAAGTACAAATGTAAATGGGTCGGATCAAAATCAGAAAATTGACCCGAAATTCTGAAATCGGATCTTTGAAAAAATTTTGGAATATAAATTCGAATTAATAATGAAAAATCGAACTAAAATCAAATGTTTATGGAAATCAAATAAAATTTGATTGTACTTATGATAACTAATTATAAAATCATATTCCTAACAATATTATACATTAATTACGTATAATATATTTGTTCATATAATTTTGGAACTAATTCCATAACAATCAACGTTTTTCTCATTAATTTTGTTTATTTTAGCCAGTTATAATTAATTAAAAGATATCTTACTTGCTTCTAGAGATTTCTAGAAAATTTATCACAACTAACCAATCTATTTTATAAATTAAATAGATATTTTTATTTTGGTCATGTAAATTAAATAGATATGAAATCTATGTAACTAATTTTAATTTAATTAGATTAAATCAAAATTATGGTATTTTCATACTTATAACTTACCAAAGAAGTTTAATTTTCAAATTATAAAGATTTATTGAATATGATTTTTAGAATTATTCAACAAGATGATAAATATTTATTAAATTTTGTGAATCATGAAAAATATTAATTATTTTTTAATCATTATATTTCACCTTTCAATCTCTCATCTAACAAATAAGATACATATTCTATTATTCCTATGTCCAAACTCCATTGTGTTGTATGACTAAATAATATTTCCATTAGAGCTGTCAAAACGAGTTGATTCGTCCCGTTAAACCTGTTTTGCAATATACTTTGGCATGTAGTTAGTCTGTCCGCCCGACCCATGGGTAGCATAAATGAAACACAAACCCGTCGCGTGAATGTATGCTGATTTGCGGGGTAATCCGTGGATTTTCTTTAAATAATTTTAGAGTAACCAAAATTTAAAATTCTACTAAAATAAATAAATTAAAATTTTTTTAGAGAAAATATTCTTATATATCATTATATTTATAAATATTATAATTTCATTTATTAAAAGTTTTTTAAACTACCACATGTTGAATAAATTATATTTTTATCAATAAATACTATCATGCGGGTTGATCCGCCAACCCTCGGACGAAAACCGATGACCCACTGCGAATCAATCTATGTGGCCCGTTTATTTGCGGGTTTAATATATTTTCCCAAATCTGCCCTATAGTGAGATGATTTGGGCTCGACCCACGGTTTTTGACCTATTTTGACTGCTTTAATTCCAATGATTCGTCTAATTTTTGAATTCTAAAACACAAAATTCCATTATGTAAATCATAATTAATATGATTGGTTTAATTATAAACAATTTAATATTTTCTTTACAATTTGTTATTAGGAATATTTATAAGTACACTACACGATTCGTTCTACTAAAAACACGCACAATATTAAAATCAACGTATGTAAATCAATATTCTCCCACGGTGGACCGCAGGTCCGATCCTAGTTCATTAATAAGAGAATACACGAGATTCATAATATCCACAAGCTTTTTGTTTATTAGCTTAGAATTAGAAAGGGTTTTACGGATATCATTAGGTCTACACACTATAACGATGAGGTGAGTCTAGAGTTCCTTCTAGAAATTTGGATTTGATTTAAGGCTAAACATGACGATCTAGGGTTCTTTTTTCTCTTTTGCCCGATTCATAGAACTAGATGCGTTGAGAAACTAATTTGCATTTGATTTTTTTAGCTGAGTTGTTTTTTTTTTTTCTATCTTTGTGCATTGGAAAGCTCACAAAAATTACATCTAGACCCTTCCTCGATGAGTTCCTCTGACGACATCTCCGTCATCTCAAAACGAATGGAATCAATGTCGATGACTGCCCGTGTTCGTGTTCTTCGTCACAACAAGAGATTACAACAGTATAGATATTCTCCTTACACTATAAGGTCAGTGATCTTCATTATTTACTTTAAACCTTTTTTTTTCTTACTAAAATTACAAAGTTTAAATGTCAATGTGCAGGACTAAGGAGAAGGAGAAGGAGAAGCAGAAAGAAGAGGCTATACGACTCGGAGTTGATCTCTCGATCTTTGTTGCTGAAGCAATGTTCTTATTATCGGATGACATACGTTCTATGTTAGTCTTCTGTTTTTGGCTATTTAAGTATGCAGGGAAGAGAAAATTTGACGGTCCCGTGGTAGGAAGAGTGTTTCGTGTTATTCAATATGTGTTTGTGACATATATAAAACCAAAGAATGGAGTCTATCAAGATGGTGGCAAATCGATTCAATGGGAACAGTTCAAAACGTCTTCCTATCATTTTGCTTTTGGAGTCAGAGTTTTGGCTCGCATTGTTTCGATTCTCGAAATGGGTGGCCTAGTGAAACCGTCTGGTTTTGAACGCTACAAACAAGAAATTAAGAATCTAGAGGAGAATTTGAAGTCTGTCAAGGATGTTTCAGCGGCGAATGGGTTTTCTAGAGAAGCTATAGAGTCTAACATTTTTCACTTGTGGAAGTCTCTCTTTGAAACAACACCGGAAATGATAAACCCTACTAAGAGTATAGTTATTGAGATTTTTAGGCCTCTTTTGAACGAAGCAAGTCGCGATGCTTGCTCTCGTCGTCTTACTTCTTTACGAATATGAATCAGAATTTCTTAGATTGGTAGATTTTACTTTCTAAATAAATGTAAGACAAAACTATGATTAGAAGAAGGTTGTATATTATCAAGTACTTAAGAATAAGAAGCATCATTGAGTATGGTTAAAAGTGTATATCAGACTCTTTTACGTTCTGTCAATTTTATGTGTCTTACATACATTATTCTCTCCTAGGAACAATTGTTTTCTTAAAATTCATTTTTAATTGATTTTGGATTGTTATAGAATATGCACTTTCTTGGATGTAACGAAAATTTAGGGACTCATTAAGAGAGATTCTAAGGAGTACCTTCATGTATCATCTTTTGTTGAAGGATAACGCAAACATAGAGTGAGCTTTTTGAGGATAGCCGAATTCTCTAGGAAGTAACTGACTGGCTTCGTTTCAGCATAATATTCTTGTATTGGTTGGGACTTTGAAATCAACAAACTCGAGAGACGATGTCAAACACTCAGGCACATATGACATACTGATTTCATTTATTTCCTTATACTTAATATAGCATACTAAGATAAAAAAAGAGAGCACTAAAACAAAATAGAATCTTTATTGAGATGAAAAAAATCATAGGGATCATCAGCAAGATAAGGGACTTCAGCTCTCAAGAAAGGTTGGTAACCATTTAAATTAATCAGATTCCCGAAGCTTAACACACAGACGGGACATGCAACCAAGCTGAGGTAGCGGTTCTAGTTTTGAGTATAGACAGATGGTAGGAGTTTATAACGCTAGTGATCAAATGGGCATTAATCACAACATCTTCACAACATTTTGCTTTTGGGAATAAATGTTTGGATCACATTGTTTTGATTCTCAAAATAAGTGAAAGCTCTTTTGGTGAAAGTGAAACCTTTAGTTTTTGAATCCTACAATCAAGAACTAAAGAAACTGGACGAGAAGTTGAGGCGTGCCAAGGATGTTTCAGATGCGAAATGGGTTTGTGATTGAAGAGATAAAGTCTAACATTCTTCGCTTGTGGAAATCTCTCTTTTAAGCAACATCCAAGTGATAAATTGATAAGCTTTTGATGTAAAAGAACAAATCCTTTTTTGCTTATCCGTAGCATTCTGTAGAACTTTGTTTATGAGTACCTCAACAAGTATTAAAGGCAAAGAAGCATGGGCCAAAAATACCTAAAATACATTTAATAAAACGTCTTTCATATTAATATTTTATGTGTTTTGGGCGAGTGAACACTCCCTCTGAACACAACAATTCTTCCCTTTCCATTTTCTGACTTCAAACCCTGTGAGGCTGTGACCACTCCAAATAGACTCAAAATTTTCTTCTTCTGATTTTTGACTCCAAAGCCCATGACCATTCCTGATGAACTCAGAAAAACACTATTGAGATTTGTCTCCATAACTCAAGATTATGAGTCCTCGTGTGCAATTTTTGTATATTATATTCTCTGTTCACATAGATGACTAAGTCCTCCCTTGTCCGAGGCTTTAATTTTTCATACACAGATAAACCATGATACGGAAGAAATATCCTTCCTTAACGCCGGTAAAAGCAATATCGAAAACATCACTAATTGGGACAAACAAAACCAACTAAGGAAAAATCTTTAAAACGTAAGAACATGTCTAGCCTCCGAAATACTTGGAAACATTTTCGGCTCCAGCATGGCAGCATGTGCCAACATCCTTTTTGCTCGATCCCAATCTTCATGTAAAGCTCAATTCTTTCCAATGCCCACGTCCGGACCGAATAAAAACCTCAACAAATCTAAATGTCTTAGGAAGATAAAATTTGAAAAATACATTAAAGACTGAATGCATAGTAAACATTTTTTGGTTGGCTTCTGCGCTTTCAGAGGGAAGCTATAGAGTTTAACATTCTTCACTTAAAGCCTCACTAAGTATATTGAAGTCTTTTACATTCTCTCAATTTCATCTTTCCTACATCTTTTGTTATTTATGAACTAGAACTACATCTTGTTATAACAAAACTTTAATTGGGTTTTAACTTTTAGTTTGAATCTAATGATGGTTTCTGAATCTAGCTACAAGCCTACAAGGCACATAAACACCTAATTTGGCATGGCAAACATTCCTGTAAGCCAATACCCAAAACTCGAATCTTCTAATATATGAAACCATATTGAACGAGAGAGTTTGTGAAGGCATATATATAACCATCGTGTTAAAAGAATATTGGGCCATATGGGCTTAACTTAGTTGGTTTGTTTAGTGTATTAGGTTAACTTATATATATAGCCACCAACATGTAATCTAAACTCTAAGAAATTCAGATTATACGATCAAGAGTTTCTTGACATGGTATCAGAGACTGCAGCTGACGGAGTTGGCAGAACAGAATCATGGTGGTGAGACGTGTGAGACTGATCAGCCGGAGAACGTGGTGAAATCCCGGGTGCTGGTGGATCAAACTGATCAATATCAAGGTCGTCATTCGCTGGAGACAAAGTATGATCAGAATTATTACTTGAACTCGGGGAAGGAGATGAGTGAGTGGTCAGCTCAATTGTGTAAGGGAAAACAGATTCACGGAAGATGACATCTCGGGAAACTGTTACCACTCCAGTTTTGTTGAGGGAGAGATTGGGATTTAGGAAAATCAGGGCCCAATCCAAGAGAAGCCCATCAACGAAGCAGGCCTCAAGCCCAAAGGCATCGAGGCCCAGACGACCTCGCCGCCCTACGGACCTGCCACGTCACCAGACGCAAGGGCAAAACCGGTAAAACCTGTCAGGGTACGCCCTACTCCGCAGAAGTATGAAAGAAGGACGACTAGTCCTGTCACATCCATCGAAAATCACGCTGACACGGCAAGGACACGAAGAACTCGGCAAGGATACAAAGAGCTCGGCTAGGACACGAAGAGCTCGGCTAGGACGCGAAAACCGATCTCAGTTAGGAAAAGGAAATCGACCTCAAGCTTTGTTCAACTCGGAAAACGACCTACAGTTCGGCCTAATCAACGACCCGGACTCCTCAATCCGAAGTCACCAATCTCGGCTCGCCTAACGCTATTTCAGCTCTCGGCTCGAATTGTTTTAGGAGATTCTTTTTACTTCCCTAGAGAAACCCTATTTCGTACTTGTGTGATTCGTGCATCAACAGTTGGCGCGCCAGGTAGGGGGATAGCTCAGAGATTTCTCCAGTCAACAAAACGAGCCCGCGACAACACGATGGCAACCGATGGAAACCAGGGTACCAGCATGGGCGTCCGAGACGACAACGCATCCTCCACGGGAGGAGAGACGGTGACGCCGATCCCGTTAGGAGTACTTCCGACTAGGAAGGCTACCCATACCTCGGTAGCTATTCCCGCATCACTACCTCAGACGCCCGAGGGGCCAGCAGAAGCAGCAAGGAACGAAACGCCCCCGGCACACTAGGAGGAAGGCGAACCGACCTCTCCCAGCAGACGACGTCCAACGAACCTCGAAGAAAACCATGCAGAACGGCACGCTGCGGCAACAACTCCCGCCGAGCCAAACCGACTGCTCCAGAACATCCTCGACCATCTAGGTCGACAGGACGCACGAACAGATGCTCGGTTCGCATCTCTAGCCGCGGCTCAGGCGTTCTCCATGGACGAGATCAACCGTTTGCAAACGAGTCGGAGCGCAAACGCGGTCTACACTCCAGAACTCCCCGGACGTCCCCAGGTAGCTCAGCCCGTCCAAACCATGGGCAGCACCAATCCGCGAGATACGGAGATCGCCGAACTAAGACGCGCTGTCCTGGAAATGAGCTCGAAAATTCATCGTGCCACTAGCTCGGCTCCAGAACTCGACCGTGTGCTCGAGGAAACTCAGCAAACCGCTTTCACCCGAAGAATCACAAGCGTCTCCGTCCGCGGATCCAAGAAAATCAAATTGGAAAGGTACAACGGAAAAGGCGACCCTAAGGAATTTCTGCAATCTTTCAGCGTCGCGATTAACCGCGCCGAGCTGACTCCAGAAAACTTCGAGGCAGGGCGGTGCCAGATCTTCATCGAACATCTCACGGGCCCAGCTCTCAACTGGTTCTCCCGCCTAAAGCCAAACACGATCAGCAGCTTCAACCAATTGTCGTCGTCTTTCCTAAAGCATTACTCACCTCTCATCGAGAACCAGACGTCCAACGCCGACCTGTGGTCCCTATCGCAAGGCTCCAAGGAATCACTCCGGTCATTCATCGATCGCTTCAAGGTGGTAGTAACCAAAATCACCATCCCTGACGAGGCCGCGATAGTAGCCCTACGCAACGCCGTCTGGTACGATTCAAAGTATAGAGACGATATCACTCTTCATGCTCCGAATACTCTCGAGGACGCACTTCATAGAGCCTCGCGGTATATCGAGCTCGAAGAAGAGCGGCTCGTTCTAGCCAAAAAGCATAATCCGCCCAAAACATCTGTAACCAAGGAGACTGCTTCGGTGATACGTAACACAGCAAACAACGCCGAGCCAAAGCAACATTCCAAAGGCAACATCGGCCAGGCACGACGACCTACGACCTTCGTCGTTAACAGCGAAACACCATCACCGAGGCCGTGGAACAAATATGTAAGGGACACCGATTCCCCGGCATCGACGTCAATATTCTGCGAGTACCATAAAAGTAGAGCGCACGCCACTGAGGATTGCCGGTATCTGCAAAGCTTGCTGATGGCAAAATATAAGAGCGGAAGCATCGCGATCGAGTGCGACCGCGCCCAAGGAAGTAAGAATCAAAAGCGTAACGAGAGCACGGCTCGTCAATACCTACAAGACCACGCGAAAACCGAGGAAGTCGAGGATGCGAATGATTCCGCCAAAAGACCTCGGAATGGAAAGGCACCAGCCGAAGCTCCGGTGGTCGTCAGACAGGTCCGAATGATAATGGGCGGGCTGCAAAACTGCAACGATTCAGTTCGGTCAATTAAACAACATCGCAAAAAAGCTGAAATGAAGGAAGTGTGGCCGTCCACGAGCGCACCACCAACTACGCCCGACGACGAACCTATATCGTTTACCCAATCCGACCTGGAGGGCGTCGATACACCGCATAACGACCCTCTCGTCGTCGAACTCATCATCGGCGATAGCCGGGTAACTAGAGTGCTCATCGATACTGGAAGCTCGGTCGACCTCATCTTCAAGGACGTTTTGGCTATAATGAACGTCAGCGATCGGCAAATAAAACCCGTATCGCGCCCGTTGGCCGGATTCGATGGTGACTTCGTAATGACAATCGGAACGATCAAGCTGCCCGTATTCGTCGGAGGAACGATCTCGTGGGTCAAGTTCGTCGTAGTTGACAAGCCCGCAGTTTACAACGTCATTTTGGGGACACCCTGGATGCATCAAATGCAGGCGATCCCGTCCACGTACCACCAGTGCATCAAGTTCCCGACGCACAACGGAGTGTTCACCTTGAGAGGGAATCAACAGATCGCAAGAACATGTTTTCTCATCGAACACAAGAACCGCGTCGCTAAGAAGTTATAGCAATTAACGATGCCAACATCGTCGACCGTCCCGACCCTAAAAAAGTCCCTCGAAGAGCCTCAACTGAGCAGAACAGAACAAGTGAATATTGACGAGACGGATAAGACAAGATGCGTCGCAATTGGGGCCGAGATAGTACCATCGGTTAAAGAACCACTCATCGCGTTCCTAAAAAAGAATTCTAAGACGTTCGCCTGGAGCGTAGACGACATGATAGGCATCGACCCTATGATCGTTACGCACGAGCTTAACGTCGACTCAACCTATAAACCGGTAAAGCAGAAAAGGCGAAAGTTGGGACCGGAGCGAGCCAGGGCCGTAAATGATGAAGTCGATAAGCTATTGAAGGCTGGCTCGATAACCGAGGTAAAATATCCGGAATGGCTGGCGAACCCGGTCGTGGTGAAGAAGAAGAACGGCAAATGGCGTGTTTGTGTAGACTTTACCGACCTCAATAAGGCGTGCCCAAAAGATAGCTACCCGCTCCCCCACATCGACAGGATAGTCGAAGCAACCGCCGGGAACGAACTTCTGTCCTTCATGGATGCATTCTCGGGATACAATCAAATCCTCATGCACAGGGATGATAGGGAAAAGACCTCGTTCATCACAGACCGAGGAACCTATTGCTACAAGGTGATGCCATTCGGCCTCAAGAACGCCGGCGCGACGTATCAACGTTTGGTAAATAAGATGTTCGCCGATCATCTCGGACGAACCATCGAAGTTTACATAGATGACATGCTGGTAAAATCTCTAGTAGCAGCCGACCATGTCCGACACCTAAGCCAATGCTTCGACGTACTGAACGAATACAATATGAAATTAAACCCCGCGAAATGCACGTTCGGCGTAACATCCGGCGAGTTCCTAGGGTACATGGTCACACAAAGGGGGATCGAAGCCAACCCAAAGAAAATTCGCGCAATCCTCGATCTGCCTTCTCCAAAAAATGCACGCGAGGTGCAGCGACTAACAGGACGGATCGCCGCACTCAACCGCTTCATCGCCAGATCGACGGACAAGTGCTTACCCTTCTATAACCTCTTAAAAAGAAAGGACAAGTTTGCATGGGATGAAGCGAGCGAAAATGCTTTCAACGAACTCAAACAGTACCTCACGACGCCCCCGGTTCTCGCTAAGCCAGAAAACGGCGAAACGTTATTTCTATACATCGCGGTATCCAGCTCGGCCGTGAGCGGTGTGCTTGTTAAAAATGACCGAGGCGACCAGAAGCCGATCTTTTATGTCAGCAAATCCCTTATCGAAGCCGAGACACGCTATCCCACAATGGAAAAAGCTGCGCTAGCGGTCGTAACATCCGCAAGGAAATTACGTCCCTACTTTCAATCCCACACAATCGCCGTTCTCACCGACCAACCACTACGAACCGCCCTACACAGTCCGAGCCAGTCTGGGAGAATGGCTAAATGGGCAATCGAGCTCAGCGAATACGATATGGACTTCAGGACCCGACCAGCAATGAAATCGCAAGTTTTAGCCGACTTCCTTATTGAACTACCGCTCATTCCAAAAAACCTAAGCGGAGACCCCGAGCCTGGCGACCCTCAGAACGGCGTCTGGACGCTGTACGCCGACGGGTCCTCGTCATCGCATGGCTCTGGCGTCGGCATACGACTGGTCTCACCAACCGGGGAAATAATCGAGCAATCGTTTCGTCTGCGCTTTACGGCAACAAATAATGTCTCCGAATACGAAGCACTCATTGCCGGTCTACGTCTCGCTCTAGGAATGAAGATCAAACGAGTCCAAGCATACGTTGACTCACAGCTCGTCGCAAATCAATTTAGCGGCGAATACGAAGCCAAAAACGACACTATGGAGGCATACCTCAGGGTCGTCAAGAAATTATCCTCACAGTTTACACACTTCGAACTAACCAAAATCCCGCGAGGGGATAACGCGCCGGCTGACGCTCTCGCCGCATTAGCATCTACGTCGGACCCCGACCTTCGACGTATTATCCCGGTGGAAAGCGTAGATCGACCAAGCATCGAAGCAATCGATACTGTCAACTTCGTCGGAACCAATCACGATCCGGACGCAGCCGACTCAACAGACTGGCGGGTCGAAATACGTGATTTCCTCACCGATGGAACGGTCCCAACGGATAAATGGGCAGCACGTCGATTACGCATCAAAGCCGCAAAATACGCGACCTTGGAAAATCGCCTCCTAAAGCTCAGCGCAACCGGAGCATGGCTGAACTGCCTACACGGCGAAGATATCACAGAAATAATGAAGGAAACACACATGGGGGCCGGCGGCAACCATTCCGGCGGACGAGCTCTCGCATTACAAATCAAAAAGCAAGGTTTCTATTGGCCGACTATGATATCAGACTGTAAGGACTTCGCGGCTAAGTGCGACCAATGTCAGAGACACGCGCCCTCGATTCATCGACCAACCGAGCTACTCAAGGTCGGTGCGGCACCATATCCATTCATGAGGTGGGCTATGGACATCGTCGGCCCACTACCAGCCTCCAGACAAAAACGGTTCATCCTAGTCATGACGGATTACTTTACTAAATGGGTGGAAGCCGAATCGTACGCGGCAATACGAGCCAAGGATGTTCAGAACTTCGTTTGGAAATATATAATATGCCGACACGGCCTTCCATACGAAATCATCACCGATAATGGCTCGCAATTTATCTCGCTGACATTTGAGAATTTCTGTGCGAACTGGAAAATTCGTCTAAACAAGTCCACACCGAGGTACCCGCAAGGCAACGGGCAAGCCGAAGCGACCAACAAAACTATTCTTGCCAGCCTTAAAAAACGCCTCGACGACAAAAAAGGAGCTTGGGCAGACGAGCTAGACGGAGTACTATGGGCGTACCGAACTACGCCCCGCAGTGCCACCACGCAAACACCATTCGCGCTAGCCTACGGCATGGAAGCAATGGCCCCAGCCGAGGTCGGATACTCAAGTCTTCGACGTTCTATGATGGCAGTCCGTCCCGACCTCAACGACCAGATGATGCTTGACAGACTCGACGAACTTGAGGAAATGCGCAACACCGCACTATGCCGAATTCAAAACTACCAGCTTGCTGCCGCCCGATACTACAACAAGAAAGTACACAACCGCCACTTCGACGTCGGCGACCTTGTACTCAGGAAGGTCTTCGAAAATACAGCTGAACTCAACGCCGGCAAACTAGGAGCGAACTGGGAGGGGCCGTACCAAGTCTCAAAAATAATTCGCCCCGGCGACTACGAACTCCTCACCATGAGCGGCACTGAAGTCCCACGAGCTTGGAACTCCATGCACCTCAAGCGATACTACTACTGACGACCTCGCTCTCCTTATATAAAAAAAAAAAAAAAAAAAAAAAAAAAAAAAAAAAAAAAAGGTAGCTCGGCCCTACCGATGCCTCTCTATGTAATGTGAACTACGAACGGCTTGATCCCTCCGATCAGGGGGTACGTAGGCAGCCCTGCTTGCAGGGCGCAGCTATGATATTAATAAAATTTTGTATTTCCATCTAAATTTTGGAAAAACAACCGAACCGAAATATACATCGATACCCTGGCCAGGCAATTCGATCGAACACGTTCGAACGAGAACGCACACCCTTACTTAAGTCTGCCAAAACAAGTAAAAAAGTCTTGGAAAAAACCTACACTTAAGGGTCTGAAAGCCGAGCTCAGTACTCGCAAAGCCTCGATAAACCGGGTAGTATAAGCCGGGGACGAACCCGCACTCCCAAAGAGTTGTCAGGCCAATACAGGGTAAGCCGATCACCGCGCGTCGCACCTCACGATGTCTCGAGCCCGCCTCGAACACTCCGAGCAAACTCGGAAAAGCCGAAATTGATAAAATTTCGCACAAGCCAAGTCCAGCACTTGCATCATACCGACAGAATAAACGTATAGGCCGAAGAACGGACTCACAAATCCCGAACCGGTCAAGCCTACCAACAACCAAAGTAACTTAGGCCTCGCATCAGCTTGGTGAACTCGCACCAAGCCGATCACGGCCAGGTTTACACAGAAACCGGCCGCGTCCCGTCCTATACAGGAGCCGACCCTGAAGAACAGGCTAAAATAAATGAAGAAATAAATGGCGAAAACCACATAAAATAAGCCGACGTAGCGGCAATCATGTTCAAACAAACCGACCCAGCAGAAATAAAGCTAAAAGCCGAGTTAACGGCACGAGTTCAAAAGCCGACAAAGCGGCGACTAGATAAGAAAAAGCCGTCAAAGCGGCAAAACGACAACTTTAAAAAAAAAAAAAAATGACCTCGCGGTCAGCCTTCGATATCAACGTCCTCCCCGTCTTGGACAACCTGAGCTAACGGAGTAGCCACCCGTGGAACCTCCTGGACGTCGCCAGACTGCTCAGCGCCTGCGGCCTCGCTCTCAAGACCACCCCCATCCTGAAGTTCGGCCCCGGTCTCACGAGCTTCAACTGCGACCTCCTGCTGAGTGTCCTGGTCAACGGCGTCTTCTTCGACCTCGTCATCTCCGACAAAGTCCTTACCACTGGCAGCCGAAGCGGCATACTGAAGGTTCTCAGTAACCTCATCCCGATCCGCAAAGAGGGTATAGGCGTCAAAATCGCCATCCTGAAGTTCAGTTACGTCGAAGGCCGCAAGATCAGCTCTGTACTGCGCCACGTCGGCCTCAACCCTGGAAAGCGTTTCCTCTGACTTAATGACGACCTCGCCGTCTTCCACTAAAGCCTTCAGAAAACCAAGGTTCCCGACTGCCTGGTTGTAAAGCAGAAGAGTGGGCTGCGCGGCACGGGTATCCTCAACATGAGCCTGCACACGGGTGAGACGAGCCTGAAACAGCCGGGCCATCTTCGAAAGAGCTTTACCTCTACAGTACTCGCCGTACTCAGCACGACGTTCTCGCAGTCTGGCCTTTTCGGAGCGGAGGATCACAGCGAGCTCGTCATACCGAGCCTTCTCTGCCTCCACTTCGGCGCTCAAACGGTTCCTCTCCGCAATCAGCCCATTCCGGTGATGATCGAGAAGGTTGACCTTCTCCCTAAGCTTCACCGCCTCGTCCTTAACAGCACCCAACTCTCGCGAGACTTGATCTACCCGCTCCTTCTCCGCAGCAATGGCAGCCTGATAATCACTCGAGTTTGGATTCTCGGTCGAAAGCCGACGAACTCGGCGCTCGTAGAGATGAACCATGCGGTTCATCGCGAAAGTCGCCTGATAAAAATATATATAAACAAACGACCAAGAAAGGGTAACAAAAATATATACATACACATATACATAGTAATAACCTCGCATGATTTCCTGGCCGCCTCGGTATACGCATCCCGCTCCCGAAGATCCTCAATTAGAGGGAACGAGCCGGGGCCATGACCCATCTCGCGGAATAGAGCAGCACAGGCATCCGCATTAGATGTAAAGGGAACATCCCTATCAACATAGCGGTACGACCACCGGTGGTCGGCGACCCGAGGCCTCTTCTGGGCAACCGGACGAGCTCCCGTATCAGCCGGCCTCTTCCTATTCAGAGGCTCGACTGAGCCACTTCGGGCTCCTACGGCCCGGAGATCGTCACTTGGGGGAAGGATTACAGCTCGATCACCCTCACCGGCCTGCTGAGTTGAGCGAGCTGCGAGCATCTCGTTTTTCTTTACCCTCTCGGAGTTGGGGCTCAACGGTCGAGAACTTCCGGCCTGGAAGGCGTGACGCCCTCCCTGATCTAAGAGACTCTTCTTCAGGGCCTCCCTCATTTGTCGCTCCTCCGAGCGAGTTGGCTTCGCCACAGGAGTCTCCAAGGCCGGCCTTTTCTCCTTGTAACGGCTGGCATAATCCGGAACCACACTCAGATCGAACTTACCCATTGCTTTACGACCTAAAACCAAAAAATATATATATGAGCCCGGGGAACGAAAACCCGCAGAGGTGAACAATATATGCGATACCTAGTTTTGATGGAGCAGAAACTTTGGAACTTTGACGAATCGGCCCTCGACGAGAAGAACCTCGGCGACCGCGTGAAGGATTCCGAGAAGGGCGGCGAGCAACTTTGTTAGTAGATGGCCAGATATATGTACCCTCAGCGCGAATCTTTTCGAGATCCTTCTTGAGCTGCTCGGGAAATGGATCAAATATCGTCGGGAAACGAGCTACACAAAAAAAAAGATATAAGGAAATCGAAAGCAACCAAAGAAGAAGTGTGAGGGCGGAAGACGAGCTCAAGCTACCGGGTGAAATTTTCCACCCTGTATAGATCGGAATCCTAACGTCCTCAACAGATTCCGCCGAAATCCTAACAAAGAAGTATCCCGCCGACCAGTCACTGGTTTTGCTCTTGGCCTCGTCGACGAGCTTAGGAGTCGTGGACGACTGAACGTAGTGTAAGCCCGGCTTTTTCTTGCTGAGGCTCTTAATCTTGGTCACCTCCTCGTAATGAGAAGAACGGACAACCACGCCGCACCTACTCGCCAGCCGAACCAGGCCCACCGCATTCCGGATGGCAGCAACAGAAAGCTGAGAAAGAGCCATCTCCCGCCTCGCTACATATTCAAGCAGGAAGCCCGGAATCGGAAAGGTGAGACCGCATTCCGTAAAGAAACTCTCATAGACACAGAGGAAGCCGGCCGGAGCGGACCAAGGCCGCTCGGATAGGGCCGGAATGCGAGTTTCAATCGAAGACGGAGCGTCACAATAATGGAGGGTATATGCGAGGGTCTCAAATGACGTCCGGGTCGGCCCCAGGAAGTCAACGTGATAGGGAGACGGTCCGGGAACCCCGAAAGGCATCTCGACGAACTCAGGCTCTGCCTCCAGATCGTCAAACTTAACATCACCAATATCCTCATCTCGGAGACTAGGAATGAAGGGAACGATCGAGGTAGCCCCGACAAGATCCCGCTGAGAGGGCGAGTCGCGACGTTGCAGCTCGGCCACAAGAACAGAAGAGCCGGCGTCAGACGACCTCGACGAGTTCTGTCGATGAGGAGGCAAGTTGGACTCCAGGTCGTCATCAAAAGAATTGGCCCGGAATCGATCAACGGATGATATACGACCCGAAGAATCAGATGAGGTGCGAGAACGGAAGTGGTCGGAGACGGAACCGCGAGAACTAGCGTCGGAAGACATCGCAATAAAACAAAAAAAAAACGAGATAAAGCGGGAGAAAACGAAATAGAGAGGAGAAGGTTATACCTTTAGCGGAGGAAGAAGAATGAGAAACGGACGAGAGAGGAGGGAGTATTTATAGAGGCAAAAGGTGATAAGTAATCATTATATCTACGAAATTGAGCAATAATTACGAGCTAAGATAGCTTCACACGCGAAGGGACGCTTCGGACTCCAAACACCGGGAACAGTGTCAGACGAATCGATTCTCACGTCTCTCCCACGCGCGCGCGTCGCCGAAACTCGTTGATCCGAAACGACGAGAAGAAAGGCGATCTCTTGCGTGTCTCGGGAAAGGAAAAACAATCATGATCCTCGCAGCACACGATGAATCATGATTGGGGGGCAACTGTTGAGGGAGAGATTGGGATTTAGGAAAATCAGGGCCCAATCCAAGAGAAGCCCATCAACGAAGCAGGCCTCAAGCCCAAAGGCATCGAGGCCCAGACGACCTCGCCGCCCTACGGACCTGCCACGTCACCAGACGCAAGGGCAAAACCGGTAAAACCTGTCAGGGTACGCCCTACTCCGCAGAAGTATGAAAGAAGGACGACTAGTCCTGTCACATCCATCGAAAATCACGCTGACACGGCAAGGACACGAAGAACTCGGCAAGGATACAAAGAGCTCGGCTAGGACACGAAGAGCTCGGCTAGGACGCGAAAACCGATCTCAGTTAGGAAAAGGAAATCGACCTCAAGCTTTGTTCAACTCGGAAAACGACCTACAGTTCGGCCTAATCAACGACCCGGACTCCTCAATCCGAAGTCACCAATCTCGGCTCGCCTAACGCTATTTCAGCTCTCGGCTCGAATTGTTTTAGGAGATTCTTTTTACTTCCCTAGAGAAACCCTATTTCGTACTTGTGTGATTCGTGCATCAACAAGTTTCAATATTATAGACCCGCCAGCCCTTTTTTCCAAATGGGTATCCTAGAAAAACAGCTTTGGTGCTTCGAGGCGCAAATTTATCACCTTCGTGTTTTTGGTTATGGACGTAGCATAGACAACCAAAAACACGAATGTGATTCATTGGTGGAGGACGTTTATATATGAGTTCAAATGGACTCTTCCCATCAAGTATTTGAGTTGGAGTACGGTTTATGAGATAACAAGCTGTCAAAGCACAATAACCCCAAAATTCAATTGGAAGATTGGTTTGAAACCGAAGAGCTCTAGCTACGTTCAAGATATGACGATGTTTCCTTTCAACGCGTCCATTTTGTTGTGGAGTGCCGACACAAGATGTTTCGTGTAGTATCCCATGTTCAGCAAAATAATCCTTTAAGCAAATAAATTCAGAGCCGTTGTCACTGCGAATAGTCTTTACTTGGGCGACGAATTGACGTTCTACAAGAGCTAAAAAATCTTTGAGTCTCTTAGGTGCTTCTTGTTTAGAAGGTAGTAAATAAATCCAGACAGCTCTCGAATAATCGTCAAGTATTGTAAGAAAATATCGAGAGCCACAAAGAGAAGGAGTACGGTAAGGACCCCAAAGATCGCAGTGAATAAGTTCAAAACCAACACTCGTCTTATTATAACTTAAAGGAAAGGATTCTCTGGTCTGTTTTGCGCTAATACAAACGTCACACGCCTTTGAATCAAACTTAGTACTAAAATTCAAAAACTTAATCATATCCAAAGCCTTAGAGGAAGGATGTCCCAAACGTGAGTGCCATAATTCCATAGATGATGAATCCACTGAATGAATAGCTGCAGCAACTTCCACTCCTCGTAAAAAATAAAGACCATTTTCTTGTTCACCTGCGCCAATCATGGTCTTGGTGGTGCGATCCTGAATAATACAAAGCCGATTAGTAATCTGAAATACGCAATGACGTTCTCTAGTCAACTGTGAAACTGAGATGAGATGACACTTCAGCCCATCAACAAAAAACACATCTTGTAGACACAACGTAGAACCAAGCGAGACATGGCCCTGTTTAGTAGCCGTAGTGTAACGACCGTCGGGTAATTTGATAAGTACATGAGCCATATCACGGACGTCAAATAAGAACTCAAGAGTTCATGTCATGTGATTAGAAGCACCGGTATCAATAATCCATGATTCAATAAAATACGTACCCGAAAGATTGTTGTTGTTGAGTTTCCGGTTTGCAAGTGTCTGCACTAGTGAATCCCATTCTTCATTACTCAAACCAATAATTCCAACACGGTCTGCAGATGTTAACGAAGATGTTGATGTGGAGAGAGCCGACGATGAATTCAAGCACGCAGCAACATGATGAACATGACCATTCGTGGAGCCTTTTCCCGTCATTGAGCCCACCGATGTCGTTGTTATTCCACGACCAGCACCATTTGATTTTGCAGATTTGTTTCGAGGATTGGTCTTAGCATTGTCGTGCCACCAGTCCGGATACCCGATTTTGCGGAAGCAGTTGTCGGCGATGTGGCCGGTGCGACCGCAGAGCGTACAAGAAACAGAGCCTCCTCTATTTTCAAAGGCGATGCGTGGTGGAGCTGTTTGAATGACAAAGCTGACGCCGTCTGTTCTTTCTTCATGAGTGTGGCTCAGATTTTTGGATTCTTCATCGAGACATAAGGCGTTATAAGCTTCTTCAAGGCTTGGTAGAGGAATACGGGAGAGCAAGTTGGATTTCACAGCTCCATAAATAGTGTCATCGAGACCCATAAGAAACTGATGTAACTTATCCTCCTCGCGCTCCTTGCGAACCTCTTCCATTGTTTTAGCTTTTGATAATCAGCTAGACTTCCCCAGAGTTGAGTAAGCTTACCATAGTAAGCATCAATAGCAAGTCCTTTTTGTCTACAATTTGCGAGTTCTGTCTTCAATCTTTGGACTCTTTGTCCATTTTTCACTCCAAATCTCTTCTGAATGTGTATCCAGAGTTCATGAGAATCATTAATGTGAGAAATAGAGGAAGAAAGTTTCTCTTCAATCGTGAGTTTAATCCAAGACACCACTAGGGCGTTATTAGCGATCCAATCTTCAAAATCAAGGTCGTCTTCCGGTGGCTGAGGTATGGAACCGTCGACGAAGCCAAATTTCTTTCTTGCTTTGAGAGCCAAGTGAAGGTTATTGGCCCATTCATCGTAGTTAGGGCCGCGTAACAGAGGCTTGGAAATCAAAGTGCCGGGATTGTCACTGGAGGTGAGATCATATGGCGATATCGTTTTTCTAGTCGCAACTCGTGGCTGCGTTGTGACGGATGCTAAAGCAGACGAGGAAGAAGATGAGGTAGAAGATGATTTAGCCATAAGAAGATTTCGATGTAGAGAGTATCAAAATTTAGGTCAAAGAAATAAGAAACGGAAAAAAAAAATTGAGTATTTTAGCGGAAGTATTAGATCGTAAGATCGAGCAAAAACCCTTTTGTATTTAGGTTTCCAGCTCTTGATACCATGTCAAGAAACTCTTGATCGTATAATCTGAATTTCTTAGAGTTTAGATTACATGTTGGTGGCTATATATATAGGTTACAACTTGAGCATGAAGTTAACCTAATACACTAAACAAACCAACTAAGTTAAGCCCATATGGCCCAATACGTCACCTGCTGCAGTCCCTGATACGTCACCTGCAGCTGCAGTCTCTGATTCGCCTGCTGCAGCCCCTGATACGTCACCTGCAGCTGCAGTCCCTGATTCTCCTGCTGCAGTCTCTGATTCGCCTGCTGCAGTCCCTGATTCACGACCTGCAGCCGCAGTCCCTGACCTCACTCACGACAGAGAATCTGTCTCCAATGCTGAGGATTCTGTCTCCGAACCAGAGAAACTAGGTTTCGGATATCGCAAGAAACAACCACCAGTGAAGCTTGCTGATTACGTAACCTCTCTTGTCTACACACCTTCGCCATCCGCAACGTCGTATCCCATTGATAATTACATCTCCAGTTCGCAGTTTTCAGACAAGTATCAAGCTTTTGTACTTGCTATAACTTCCGGACATGAACCAGTGACTTATCAAGAAGCTATCACAGATGAGAATTGGAGATACGCCGTGAAAGATGAAATCGAAGCTCTCGAAGAGAATGGTACTTGGACTGTTGAGACTCTACCCGAAGGGAAGAAACCCATTGGTTGCAAATGGGTTTTCCGATTAAAATTCAACGCCGACGGCACTCTCGAACGACACAAAGCTCGCCTAGTGGTTCTTGGAAATAATCAAAAAGAAGGTATTGACTATGCTGAAACCTTCGCCCCCGTAGCTAGAATGATTACGGTTAGAGCCTTCTTGCAACAAGTTGCGTCTCTTGATTGGGAAGTTCATCAAATGGACGTCCACAACGCATTTCTTCACGGTGACTTAGATGAGGAAGTTTACATGAAATTTCCTCCTGGTTTTCGCATAAATAATGATACGAAAGTCTGTCGTCTCTGCAAGTTACTCTATGGTTTGAAACAAGCTCCACGCTGCTGGTTCGCGAAGCTTGGAAGTGCTATGAAAACTTATGGTTTTGAGCAAAACTACTCCGATTATTCCTTATTCACGCTTGAGAAGGGTGACACTTGACTTCATGTTCTGGTTTATGTTCCTGATTTGATCATTACGGGCAGCTCAATTCACGTTGTCAACAGGTTCAAACATTACCTAAGTACATGCTTTCACATGAAAGACCTTGGACCACTCCGATATTTTTTGGGAATTGAAGTAGCTCGCAGCCCTGAAGGGATCTATTTGTGCCAACGAAAATACACTCTCGACATTATTGCGGAAACAGGCCTAATGGGAGTCAAGCCCATCACGTTTCTTTTGGAGCAAAATCACAAATTATCTCTTGCAAAAGACGACCCATTCTCTGATCCAACTCGTTACCGGCGCCTTGTTGGTAGAATCATATACTTGGGGAATACTAGACCGGAGGTCTCTTATGCCATACACATTTTATCTCAATTCATGAACAATCCGAAACAGGCTCATTGGAACGCGGCACTTCGTGTTGTTCGTTATTTGAAAAACAGTCCCGGTCAAGGTAT